GTCGGCAATCTTCGTCGATGTAGGGGGCTCCTTGATCTTCGTCCTGTTTCAGCCATCCTTTTGATCTCAACCTGTTCTGTCCGAAGATGTCCAACGTCAGTTGCAAGTCCTTGTACCAAACGTCGAATCTCATCAAGTTGATCTGATGTAGGATGACCTGCAGTGGGATGATCTGATGTAGGATGAGATGAATGTTCACCTGAAGCATCATCGGCTGGAGCGTCACGCACGTCACGGCCTGAATTCACACTGCCTCGTGATCGTGCCAACCTTGACATGTTCGGGATCAAATGTCGAATTTGTCCCAAGCTCGCAGCCGTGTCTTGACAACCATGGCAAACACCACCACAACGCATCTCGCCCCACTTCCAAGATGATGCATGAATGAGAACAACGTCATAACCAAGGACTTTGAGACACCTGTAGGCAGCAAATCCTTGTCCCACTGACCTGTGGCGGCCTGACTTGCACTCTAGGTCCACCAACACTTTGCTGCCAGCCTCCTGCTGAGTGACGAACTGCAGGATGTTGTTGAGATGTTGGATGAACCTGTCCACCTTGCTCAGCGTCTCAAGGATTCCATGATGCCAGCCCACATGCGATCTGAGGTTTACGTCCTGATCAGGATCGTAAATGTCCTCACAGTTGATGCTCAAAGTGTTCCTGCTAGTTCTGCACGCATGTTGTTGAAATCTACGTCCACGAGTCATGATGATCACCTTCCTGTCACTGCGCAGTTCTTCATTCAACTTCGTCTGCAAGATGTCATAGTCCCTCGAATGAAACCCACACATGTCATGGTCAGCCATGGCAACTTCTGATGTGGATGCTGTGTATGCAATGTTGTACTTTCTGTGACACTTTGGGATTTGGGGAAGTTCATTTGGCGGTGTGTTGTTGATGTTGGTCAACCCTTCAGTCAAGTTCATCACAAGTAAACCTGATTTTGAACACCTCTTGATATTCAATGGTTGATCTTTGATGGAAACCACTCCTTTTGCTAGGTCCTTCACTAGGCCTAATTTGGTTTGCGCATGCAATGAGAGAAGTAATGGACTGCTGCCTGTTGACAATTGATATGAATCCAACTCCCCATTCATGTTCCCGCCTGGAAGCAGCAGCGAAAAAGGAATAGATCTCACACCTTCGGTCTTGGTATTGCCATTTCCCAGGCCAGCAAAACTCTTACAACTGTCATCCTTCAATGGCATGCTGTATCCCAAACGGGCCAGTCGTGCTTCTGCATCGACTGCCCAAGCTTTGCTATGACAAGTGCTGTTGCAACCTTCATCCAACACTGCAAAGACATGAGATGACCTGGCAATGTCAACAGTTTCTTCAAAGTTCATGTAAACCAAGTCTTGGGGGTATTGAATGTCACTTCCATGCAAACAGACGCCAACATACCCAGCTAACTCCCTGCCCGAGGGGTCGCCGTGCCCATCTTCATTGACAAGAGAAAAACTGTCCTCTTCCTCTGTCACGTCATTGATGGCTTGGTGGAGTAGTTCATGTAGTCGTGCACGGGTCATGACCTCAGATTGACAGGTTTCGGTAACAAGAGTGGCAAACAGGGGCAACAACTCTTCCAACTGGACTGGATTCAATCCATCCGATTCTTCAACCAACGATTCAACAATGGGGATTGCTCGAACTGATGCTGTTTCAACCTTCTTGGCAATTGCAACACGCTCCTTACGAATCTGCATAGGAGCTTCATCAATGAACGTGCAACACTTCTTGCAGAAAGTACGGTGTGTTGATTTGCTGGATCCCCGAAAATCTGTGTCGTCATGAGGGCAATTTTCAGGGGACATCAACGGTACCATGTCACGTCTTGTTGTTTCGGAATGACCGCATACAAGACAGGTCTTCCTGATGGTGTACCCCGTAGAACCTTGTTTTGTAAACTCACGACATTCTTGACACTTGTTCGGCAAAGGTGGATTTGGGGGTTTTCTGCTGCCAGTTTCCCGAGTCACCAACAAATCTCGGTGCTCGACATGCTCAACAGGGACTTCGCGCAAGTGAATCCCATCAGCACCAACTACAAAGTACTTGTCAACCCAGTTCAACCATGTGACATAGTATGGACTCTTGGGGGTATGTTTCTTGGCATGATGGTAGTACCCTGTCTGTTCAAACAACACATTCCAAAAAGACAAACCCTTGAACTGTCCAACAGGAAAGATGCACCCATGGTCCTCGGGTCTCATTGTAACATCGAGATCCCGGGAAATCAAGCCAACGTTGCTGCTGGATGCTGCTGCACGTGAAGGTCTGCTGCTAGGCTTCGCTTGTCGAACTGCCATCATAGCAACTGCACCTCTGTCACGATCAGGTGAAGCTGTCAAAGTCACACCATCATCATCTGAAGAATCGCTCATGTCGGCAAAGTGAGCTGCGGGCTTTGGGGCTGGTTTCCCAGGGGCTCCGGTTTTGGACCCCGGGAATTTACATTCCGGGTCACCGGCCCAGTGCCCTATGGTGCCGCATCTCAAACATTTGCTCTTCGACTTCAGCTCTGTGAGCTTCTGTCTCCTCTGATCGATCGTGAGGTTGGACTTCACGATCTTTCCTTTCCCCTTTCCTTTAGGCTTCCCGAAGGATTTTCCCTTGCCACCTGCCTTCCCCATTGCGGTGAAAGCAGCAAGTTGTAGCTGGATGGCGTCTCCTGCTTGTCGATCGTCTTCTGCACCTTCAAGTTCAAGCAAGCTGTTCAATGCAACTGCTTCGTACTCATCGACATCGTCAAAGTAATCAAATTCGTTGTCACCTTCTAGGTTTCCTGGCTCCTCTTCTGCAATGTCACCAAGCATACCAACATATGAATCATCCTCCCAGGATTGATTCGCAGTTTCATCCCAAGATTCTGCATGTTCCTCCCCATCATCGGGGTAGGCTGCATAAGCTGCTTGGGAATACGATCCCTTCGAAGAAGGTTTGCCTTTGCCATAACCCTTGCCTGTTGATTTGCCAAACTGTTGAGGATTGCCACGTCCTGTCCAGGATCGTGACCCTTCTCGCAAGTGAGTGCCACTGTAGTTCTCGATCAGCACCGTGCCAACACCTTCAAAATCCCCTTAGTGTTGCACAGGCCTTCACAACGAGGATCTCTTGTCGATTGAGTCCACTCAACTCCAACATCAACTCTGTCCTCAAGCTGTCTGAAAACACCATTGTGTCATCCAACTCGCAAAGCATGTGCCACCAACGTCGTCTCCTCTGAACATAGGAAAGCATGGGTTCGCCTGGCTGGCGAGACAAAGGTCCACCTTGCTCCTGTCCTGCACGAAAAAGTTCCTTTGCTTCCTCACGAGCTCTTGGAAACACATGGGATCTGATCTCACCCACAAGTTTCACTAAGCCACCAGGTTCGGACAACACTTCAAGTCCAAGATCCCTAGCTATTGAGAAAGCATCTCCTCTCAGTCCTTCAATCACCTTGTTGACCAATGGTCCACGATCAACGTCTGTCTTCTGCTTGCCGGACTTCGAGGATTTTCGGCTCGCTCCAGACTTCGGAGTCGAGACCGCTGATGTAGGCTGGGTTGCTTGAGTTGCACCCGACAAATCTGGAAAAGTAGCATACTCATCTGCGTCTTCTGCGGCAGGCTCTGTTGCTGTGGTCCCAACGGGATCCGCAGACTTACTTGTCTCCTCCAACTGTTGCTCATAAAGACGAATCCGAAGGAGAGTCCTGAACTGCCAATCATGAAAGTTCGCCGCATCACCTGCATAGATGTATGATCCACTCTTCGTCTCAAGTGGTGCCGACGAATGGCGCTCCTGGCTGAAACGAAGGCCATTGATCGACATGATGCTCGCTCCGTTCGGAGTCGAACAAGGAAAAACGTTAACAAGTGTCTGCCCTGGTCAGGGTCAGACAGATTCCCGAACCACGACACGCTCGAAGTTCAGTTGATTCCCAAAGTTACCAGACTCAAATTCACAAAGGGGTCCCTGGGTCACTGACGTACCACTGGATGCGGGTCGTCACCCGCTCCGCTACCAATCTGAATTGGAAACGGGATCGTTAGTGCCCAACTTTTACCACGGCAGCGCGGTATGACTCAAGGGCCCTAAAGCCAAATGTCAACGGGGGCATGTGATCACTTGGCTATACAAAATATACATTAGACAGGTCAAACTCACAATGGTGATTTTCCATGGCTATGTTAGTTTACCAAAGGGTAGATCTATCGTTCATGGTGGCTATTAGTTATATATATATAAACCAACTAGTATCACAATCAAATCCAGTACTCGCGGAGTTGAGGTGAAGCAAAAAGGGTTAACCATGGTGAAATAGCCCCTGTAAGTTGGGATATGGGTCCCCTAAAAGTATGGTTATGTTGGTTATATATCCAATTATAACTGGAACTGCACTACCAAATGCCCAAACTAGTTCGATGTATCAATGTATCTACCCAAAATCCAAGTTATTTGGGGTTCAAAAGTGGTTCAAGCAGATTTGGTTTTTTTCTCATCTTTTCAACTTGATTTCGAGTTTTCAACTTCAACATATTTGGATGATGATCAGGTGCTGGTTGAAACCCATGTTTGTCTCAAGCTACGGCCATTTCAGGCTAAACTGGAGGTACCGTACCACATCGTACTACATAAAGCCATTGAATTTGGGGGTATATCCCCTTACATAGCCCTTACATAGAACTTATATATGCTCCAAGTTAGCTTCCTGAAACGGCCACTGAGATAGGGATGAACCATGGAATGGTTCCTGGGGTTCCAAAATCTCCGACATCCTCCCAAACTCAAAGGTGATTTGGAACCTGCATGGGTGGCAGACCACATCAACCCCTCCGCCCTCAAATAGACTCAAATATCGCTGTGGCAGGTGGCAAAGTACGCGTTTGATACATGATTTGCCCAGTGAAAATGGTGATGTAGAACCAGCTCTGTCAGTTGAAAGTCATGAGGGTCTCACCCCACTTTTTCGGGAAAAAAAAACGAAAAAATTGTCAAAATGGTCAAGGCGCCTGCCATCCACTAGCCATATGTGGAGCTCCGGTGGTCTTCAAACGAGCGCAACTCTTGCTGCCGGTGCGTTTGTTGATCTGCCACTGTCCGCGCTCCTTCCAGTAGAAGAGGAAGAACTTGTTCGCGGCCTTGGACGAGAAGGGCGCTGATGAACAATGGCCAAGAAATGTCAAGAACAGATAGATCATATAGTTATAGTGGTTATTGCTATTGTGGTGGGGAAAAGAATAGTAACAATAATGAATGTAAACACTAAAAACGATGAATTAAACATGGTTAATATAACGATACCAATCTAATAGAATTAATCATAATGTCCATAGTGATTGTTTACTGAAATCAATAAGGACATCAATAATTACATCAATAAGAATATGCGTAGCAGAACTCGTATTTTTGGTAATGACGGAAACAATCAACATGAGCAGTAAATACGGAACAAAATCATCGATGAATAATTGGTATTTTTAGTAATAGTAGTAAGAGCAACATCAGTAATAAGAATACATCTGCCCACTTGAAATTCCATCTTTTCTACTCCATTGAACATCAGCAAAATCTGAGTATTCCCATTGCGTCAACCCCAATTTATCGGAGCATTCCAAGCAACGCAGTAGAAGATCGGCCGATGGTTGCAGAACTTCCCTTGTTGAACATAGTCTCCATTGACTTCCTTCCGAGAACAGCCAGAGATCACATAAGTATAGTCCGCCACTCGACCTAGACCTTAGATTCGTAAAGGACACAAATCAGCATGGCCCCCCCAAAAAAAAACGCGAATCACGCATCCTGAAAGATGATAATGATATAATGATATATAATGATGATACCAAGCAATTTGAAGCTCCGGGTTTTACCAAGAATTGGAGGGAGCAAAACAGAAAAAAACCCAAAAAGAAAAAGTGGACCTGGCACATCCAGGAAGCCAAGTCCAATGGCTTTTGGATCTTCCGCAAAAATCCACTTGATAAATTCGCCAACCTGAAGTTTTCCGTCTCCACTGGAATCCGCGGAGGCCAGCAATTCCGCCATCCGGTCGTTGTCCCAATCCTGAGATGCTACATCAACAAACGGTGGTAAAAGATGCCCGGATGAAGAAAAAATGCCAAGTTACCCTCTGGTAAACTGCTACATAACTATGGAAAGATCCACCATTTTAATGGATAAATCAACTATTTCGACTGGCCATGTTCTGCCATTTTACCAGAGGGTAAGATGAAATGCCCAGAATCATCCGGCTCAAGGGACTGTAAGACCTTAGTGAGTTCCTCTCCAGTGATATAGCCACTTCCATCTTGATCAAAGCGCTGAAACGCCGTGAACACCACCTGGTCGACCATGACGTACGTCTGCGGCCCGCGCGAACGCCGGAGGCGGTGTTTTCGCGGAAGCGGAGCCCAGCGGCTGCGGCGATGTGGTGAAGATCCACAGGGGCCGGCCCCAACTGATGGAGGTTTAAAATCCCACTATATCCCACTGGTATACTCAGTACCCTCTGGTAATCTAACATAACTGTAGAAAATCACCATTGTTGATAGGTAAACCATCTATAAATGGGCCATAATCCATGGCTATGTTAGGTTACCAGAGGGTAATAACCCCAACTGCCCAAGTATCCAACCCTGCACATGGGATCGAAGTAAAATCGCCTCCTTTCTCACCTCTGGCGAGCCGTACAGTGAAGCGGTGTGAAACCAAGGAATTCTGCGGCCGACTTTGACACCCTCGGCTTCTCCTAAGCTTGGACTTGGATTTTTTTCTGTTTCATTCGCCTTCAACCTGGAGCCCAGCAGCTAAGCAGCTACATCTGACTCCACAAAACACTAGGCATACTTCTGGGTCCACTTCTTGGCCGTCGCAGCATGTTCGGCTTGATCCTTCTGATAGGCTTCAGCAATCTCCGGCACCAGAACCGCGGAAGGGTCCAGGTTTGGGTTGGCCAACAGGGCTGCAACCGCCCCCAGCACCTTTGAGATGGAAAGTGCTGGGCTCCAGGAAGCTCTCAAGAGATCCAAGCCAATGGCACCGTTGCTATTCACATTGCAATGGTAAATCCTAGGAACGTTTGCACCGGAGATGATTAACCATGAAAAGAACAAGAAAAATATATCCACTATAATTATGACTAATCACTATTCCAAATTCAGATTCAAGATTCCCCGTTTTCCGATAGTTTTAACAACTTTAAGCATCTTTAACCCATGGAAATAATGGCGTTGAAAACCAGCAGATCCAAGACTCCTGTTGGTCATGATGATCTTGGGGGGCTTGAAGGGGTAATCCACGGGAAATTTGATGTCCAGATAGAAGACCCCACCAGCATAGGGGGAATCCGTAGGCCCCATGATGGTTCCTGTCCAATCGTACAAGTCCTCCGCCAGTGGGCCAGCGCTGCATTGGTTGGGGGGATCACTCTCCATCTGTTTCAATTCCTTCATGATACGTCGCAGCGCCATGCTTCCCTTGGCTAACTTGGGTCTGAGCACGAATTTCGTGTAGCCAAGCTGGACTGCTTACCCTTTGAGCCGCGGACTGCGCGAATCACAAACGGAAGAAATACTTTCGCCTGTCCCCTTCAAACTCAAATTAGCAGCGTTCAAGCATTGGTGAATATGACCCCCAATGTGACAATAATATTAGTAAGATCATCTTCGAACTAATCATCAACGAACAGTGGCAGACCGTGGCTACTCCTGAAACTGCTGCAGCAAAATGTGATCAGCCACATCCAACTCTTTCCACGGGCGAGTTGGACAGTCAGCTGCATACCATCTGTCATACACCTGTCAATGGCCACAGCGTTTCGATTCGAACTGCTGGCACCAAAAAAAAAAGCAGGACCCCAAGTGTCTACCCTCTGGTAAACTGTTACATAACTATGGGAAGATCCACCATTTTCAATGGGTAAATCCACTATTTCTATGGTCATTTTCAATAGCTATGTTAGTCATAACCAGTGTCTAAGTGTCTGACACACAACGAACAGCTCCGACTTCGCCGGCCTCGATGGCCTAAAGACTCGCGAAATCGATATTTTCAAAGTCCGACAGCTCAGTGATCCACTCAGCCCATTTGGCATACTTCCAATCACCTCAGCGTCAAAGGTGAAGGAAGATCCTATGAGTTATATACCATATATATACATATACATAAATACATGCATTACATTACATTACATTTCATTACATACATATAATACGTGTGCGTGTGTGTGTGTGTGCATATACATATATATATATACATATACAGTATATATATACAATTATACACATACATATCCCCATGATCTTCCCAATCATATCCCATGAAATCAACATGTTCCGGTGTTTTCTATAAATCACCCATAAATGGCCACTTTGTTGGAGCACCAACGGCTGAAGGAAAACATTGGTCAGTGATCTTCAGTGGGTGCATAAACTGTGTTGATGAATCAGGCGGTTACCCCGACAATAGTGATAAATGACCATTGAAATTGGTGCCCCTTAATGAAATGTTTTCTTGAGTCCTGGGCATGATTTCAAACCACCAGCCTTTTGAATCTGAAGGCCGAACCCAGCTTGGCAATTGTAGTGATTCCCACCTGCCGAAACTGCTGCGCAACTTCTTCTCACAAAGCCGGGCTGAAAAATCGTCCATGTGTAGATTTGTGATCTCCTTTTTGGATCTCGTAGGTGTGAATTTTCCTGCACTCCGCAGGGATATGTTCCCTCTCTTTCATCTCACAACGCTTGAAAAAAGGCGGCTTTCCCATTCAGCAACCAAGATCGTCATGATTTATGATAGTTCGAGGTTTCATCATATTTCATATCATATTTCATCATGTTTCATCACTATCATTGCCATAAAAAAACATTAAAAAACGGCATCCTTCCGAAATCTGGAGCCCTTTTTCCATCACCGGTGTCACCGTCCCCGCCACTTCGGGGCGCCTTGGCCAGTTCGGGGTCAGCCCAAGCGGCTAGGCCTTGAAGGGCGGAGGGCGGCAGGTCCACCATATCCTTCAAGGACTTGCACTCCTCGGCGACATCGGATAGGTTTGGAGAGGTAGAAACACTTTAAGCACTGATGTTTTAATATGTAATCATGTACTATCATGTACTCTAATGTTTTTACATATTTGCGGTGTGCATATATATATATACATATACATATAGATATAGATATAAATATAAATGGACATGTGTCGCTGTGTGCTGCAGATCCAACATGCTTCTACCTCCTCCTATTGTTCCAGCCAAGGAGCGTGTTTCTTATCCATGGCCTATGCCAGGCAGCCAGGCATCCCCCCCTCTGGTAGCCAACTTACCACTGAAAGAGATGGAGTATATATCCGAATATATGCAGGAGGGGGGGAAACATACCAGATCTATCTCATCTCATCTCATCTCATCTCATCTCTCCCTCTCTTATATACATACATACATACATACATTACATTACATTACATTACATTCCATTCCATTCCATTCCATTCCATTACATTACATTACATTACATTCCATTCCATTCCATTACATTACATTACATTACATTACTTACATACATACATACATATATATATATGCGTGTACTTGTATGTATAAATACAGATACCCCGTAAGAAGAAGAAAAACTCTTCCAGGATGGCTTGCAGTTCCCGGTTTCCACCTCTTCTATGACGACTGGCATTCTCCCCAGTTATGCTGGATGTTGATCCGTGCCTTGTTGATGTTCAGGGCCGCTCCCTCCTCACGTTTTCCTTCCTGTTCCAACTGGGCCAGGCCCACCATCGCCTTTGCGATACGATAGAACTTCCACTTCCCCAAGTCACCTGCAGGCCATGACAGCCATGGTCATTGACATGATCATAGAGAATCTGGTCATATGTGGCGATATCATGCGATATCAACCAAAAAAGTGGTTCTGAAATATGCTTGTCTCACCCAAAAATGGGATCATCACATCATCACCAACAGAAGAAGGGAGACTTACCATCACCAGGGTTCCCTCTCCCCATTTCGAAGTGGATTTTTTCCTCCTCCAGCGGCCCGATCAACTGAAGAAACTGCCCATGCCATGTCTCTGCTGAGGAGCTGATGGTGTGGACCTTGAACTTCCTGCAGTGACAGGAACTTCACATCGTTTCATCCAAAAAAAAAAAACGTCCGCAGATGAAGTGGAAAAACTTCAGATCAATAATGTCCTAAAATGGTAAAAATAGAGGGGCCGGGAGCTGGTATACCATCTATCATCATAGAAACCTGTTGTTAAACGGGTAAACAAACCCCTCTATTAATCAACCAACCAATGGGAAAAAGGACATCTATGCTTCAGATCCTTTCCTTACTGGTGCGTTTTACACAGGGAATGTTCGGGAATTTCATCGCTTCATCACTGTTACTTTAATCATCCCAGCAACCCCCAGCAACCCATCCGTTACGTAAAACGCACCAGTCAGTTTCAACCGGTTTCATCTTGGAATCCCCAAAGCAACCGAGCGGCTTCAGGACATCGCGTCCCTTCTGTGCGACGCCTTGCAGTGCAGAGGTTGGAGCTGCAGCGATGTCAGTGAGGCTGCTCCCTTCATATTCCTGGCTGAGGATTTTGATGGTCAGCAATCTATAATGGTATTTAATGGTGATTCATATTATGGTGTATATACATATATAATGGTAGTTATAATGGTATATAACTTACTGGTGCGTTTTACGTAGTGGATGGGTTGCTGGGAGGTTGCTGGGATGATTAAAGTAACAGTGATGAAATGGATCATTCCCGAACATTCCCTGCGTAAAACGCACAACAGTAAGTTGATGGTCAGCAATGTCAACCCCGGAATTTCGAAATTTTTGAAGATCGCACCAGAAATTTCGTGGGGGATTCCTGATACCCCTTTTATTTTCGTGGATTTAACCATGAAAAAAAAACATCACCTTGAGCAAGTTCAAAGTTAAAAAAACGCAATCGGAGGGTTCAAAAGCCAATTCTTTGATAATCTGCTACTGGAAAATGGTACGCCCAATGATCAACAGCCTTATTCAAATTAACGCGTTACTTCTGGCACCTATATACAATTTCAAGATGATTACTTTGCCCTCAATGTTGTTTATGTTGGTAGGTTTCTTTGCCATCATCATGATAATTTTCATGACTATCTTTACGAAGTAGTGCCCCCTAGTTCTATATAAGTTGGTTTACAATTCCCTCTGACTATTAATTCCCATAAGCCCTATTGATCCCTACTGTAGTTATGTAATAGTTAAGTATGTATATATATATATGTGTGTGTGTGTTGATTGGTTACCCTAAACCAACATAACTATGGAAAATATCCATTTCTAATGGGTAAATCAACGATTTCCATGGCCATTTTCAAAAACAAACTGTTAAATTACCAGAGGGTATACAAGAACTTAGCTCACTATGAGGCACCAAAATGGTACTAATGAGGATGGTGCAAGTTCTAGAATGGGTGCCTTGTCCACTGCGTTGTTGATGTTCAGCTTGTAGGTTGGCATCTTCTTTGCCTTGCCGCGACAAGCTACGAGAACCTTCTGGCTAAACATACAAAAAGATATGGAAGAGACGTTGGCTTTTTCCCAGGACATTCTCTATTATACTGTAAATGGTGGATTCTCCATGTGCCGGTTTTTTTCAGTATATACCGTGCTTCAGCAAATGTTCAACAAATCCATCTTGAAGGTCTAGTTTCTCCTCTTCTTTCAATGAGATTTGTAGCTCCCGCGAAATAAACATCACCCAGTGTAGGACATCATCAACCAGGCAATGGTTGAAATCATTCGAAATCCCGGTTTGCAGTCCGCCAAAACTCCAACCTCCATAGGCCCAGGGGTTCCCAACCCGGTCATCCCACGGATCAAACCCCGCGGTTTCGTGGGGACTCCGACCACAGCAAAAAACCCAGGGTCATTCGACCAGAACTTGGGGGTCCGACCACAGCCAGGCCTTCTTTTTCGGCGGCGCGACCACCTCCTCAGGCGCCCCTTCAGCCCCTTCAGCCCCTTCAGCCGCTGGCGCTGCCTTTTGGATGACGGCTCTCACTGCCTGGTTTTCTGAGAAGCTGCTAGGATTGTTACGATGGGATCCTGGGAGAATGGCAACCACCAGAACCACCAACAATCACATCCCCCTAATATGGCTATGAGTCATAACCCTGGTACCTAGTGAACCACAAAACGGCTGGTAAATGGATCTTCATCCCATTAAAATTGATACTAATGGGTTTTGACCCATCCTCATATGAAACACCACCTAAATGGTGCCAATGATGTGGAAGTTCTCTACTGAGCCACAGTTTCTAAGGTGCTGGAGGTCGCTTAAAAACCCATCCCTGGGAATCGGCCAATTGACATCGAATTCCCTCATGCTGCCATGGTGCCATGGTGCCATGGTTTGTAAGGTGAATATTGGGGAGGGATTCTCTAAACTTCTAATCCCACTACCCGGCCTGGTAAACATACAAAAAACTATTGAAGCCATGGCCCAGTCGAAATCCTTGATTTTCCCATGGATTTTCCCATTCAAACTGCTGGATCTTTCCATAGTTATGTTGGTATGTTTACCAGGCCGGGTATTTCCCACATCCTTCTAATTCCCCTATGGATAATCGATCATCCCCCATGACCTTTCCAACGAAAAGGCGCCGCCTCGTTCTTGGCCACTTCTGCGGGCGTTTGCCCGGAACGTGTCTGGGCCTGCGGGTCTGCACCTGGCTGGGTGGCAGCATCCCCACTTTTTGTTTTCGCATGTTGCTGGTGGGTAATTCCCAATGCCATAATGATGGTTAATGGTGGATAATCACTGGTTAATGGTGGATAATCACTGGTTAATCATGGTTGATTATTGTGGTTATGGTCATGGTTAATTATAGCAATGTGGGTAATTCCCAATGCCATGTTTACCACCGACTGGGAATGGTAAGTAAACATATACCACCTGAAAATTAACATGTATAAAGTGATTTTCCTGGGGGATGGTGCGTTTATGGCATTGGGAAACATACCACATGAAAATTAACCTAACAATAGCCGATTTTGAGATAAATTTCATCCAACTCATGGCAGGCTATGTCTATCTGGGAGCCTGGGGGTATGGGAATTGATGTTGTAAGATGCGTACAACACCACAATCAATGGCCATTTCAGGAACCTAAATTGGAGGTACCTACCATATATAAGGCCTATGTAAGGGCTATGTAAGGGAATATCCCCACAAAATATGGCCTTATATGGTACAGTACCTCCATTTTAGGATCCTGGAATTCCCATTGACACAACCATATTCTAGATGACTAGTAAGTATAGCCACTACAAATCTACTGCTTAGTATCCCATGAATTGCCAATAAGCCAGGTATAAAAATAAAAATAAAAACTCTACAGTATCCGAAAACCCGTGAGCAATTGTATTTGGTTCATAAGGGATTCATAGTCATAATTCATAGTTCTATCTCCCATGAAAAATCCATATCCCGTGAATTAATTCAAGAATAACCACTACTATTTATTCTTAACAGCCATAAATCACCTTATATTTTTATCCCATTAGTCAATAACACTATATATATATACAGGTGTGCGTGTGTGCGTGTGTCTGTATCTGTGCGCAGTCCACTATTCAAAACAATAGTCAATATATATATATATATACATAATATCTATTTATATATATATATAATTGTGTGTATATGTGTTATATATATATAATCTATATTATATATATATAAAAATATATTATATATATATATTATCATATATATTATATATATGCCCGAAATATCCTATGGAAGATTCATCCTGGGACTCGTCCTCGCCGTCCTCGCCTTTCTCCAGCAGAAAGGCGGCCACCTCGGCATCGCCGTTGAAGGCCGCCTGGTGCAGGGCCGTCCAACGCATGGACGGCTGGACGTTGATCAAGTCGGGGCACTCCTGGGGATTGGCCAACCGGGTAACCGTTCGTTTGTGGCTTGTTTCAATGGATTGGTTTATCCTCTGGTAAACTAACATAACTATGGAAAATCACAATTTTTAAATGGTAAATCCACTATTTCGACTGGGCCATTTTCAATAGCTATTTTGTATGTTTACCAGAGGGTAAGGGAAAATGTTAACCGGAACACAACCCACTTTCTTAATAGAAAAATCCATGGGAAATCCCAACTTGTTGCCATGTTGGCTGGGATGGATGGCTCCCTGGGGATACTGAGCAAGTGATACTTTTTCTCTATTTTCTTAATAGAAAAATCCATGGTTTCCCGTTTCGATTTTCCCTTAAACCAAGAGTTTCATAGTTAGTTGGTTGGTGATTTCACTGTGGCACTATGGATCTTTTTATGGATGTTAGATAGCTACCAGCTGATGGATGGTTAATGGATGGGTTTAATGGATAGTTAAACGGATGTTAAATGGATGTTAATGGTTGGTAATAGTAAAAATTAGATAGTTCAAGTATAGTTAATGACATAAAATATCATAAGCATTTCCGCGCTCGGACACAGCAAAGCAGGCTGCCACAGTACCAAATACCCATGAACAAACACATGTGCCAAGTTTATCATGTGGCAATTTTTATATCTATCATAAGAATCTTTTATATCTATCATTCTTTGGCATTATGTGAAGTTTGGCAGTAGCTGGGTTCAAAGAGTTTAAGCCCTGAATTCTTCCAGACTCTCTCTGCATCCAGTTGTGGATGGTGCCTACCTGGTTCTTTCAGAAATTCTTGGCACGTTGGCTCCAAATATTCCCCGAAAAAGTTGATGGTATCCATGATGATCCCCTGGATGTCCCTGGATTCATGATTTTTTGCCACGAAATATCCCCATACTCCATGATTACGATTTCCAAAAAATGAGCAAGAAAAACAAAAAAATGATGGTAAGCCATATGAATCAGTTGGTTCCAGTATCCCACGGGGTTCCATCTCCTGGAGTTGTTCTTTGACAGCTGCCCAATTGAAACTTTTCGCATTGTCCTAGGCCACAGCGCCACCAGCAAAATCGCTCTTGGATGGGGATGGGTGGATGGATGGATGGATACATCAATTTATGCATGTCTCTCTTTTCGATCTGCTTATCCATTTATCATCATTTATCATCATTTATCATCATTTATCATCATGTATCATCATTTATCGTCATTTATCATCATTTATCATCATTTATCATCATTTATCGTCATTCATCATCATTTATCATCATTTATCATCATTTATCATCATTTATCATCATTTATCATCATTTATCATCATTTATCGTCATTTATCATCATTTATCATCATTTATCATCATTTATCATCATTTATCATCATTTATCATCATTTATCATCATTTATCATCATTTATCGTCATTTATCGTCATTTATCGTCATTTATCGTCATTTATCGTCATTTATCGTCATTTATCATCATTTATCGTCATTTATCATCATTTATCGTCATTTATCGTCATTTATCATCATTTATCTGTCTACTTTTTCAATCTGATTCCCACCCATAGCCGCGCACGAAATTGCTCAAAGCTCTGGGAGCTGCGAGGTGCTCTCGCAACAAGACGTCGGGGAGCATCAAACGATCGTAGGCCCAACCCAGGTCTACGTCGCTTGAAATTCTGGAGGAGAGAGAAGAAAACGAACGAAACATACCCTCTGATAAACTAACATAGCTATTGAAAATGGCCATTGATAGTGGATTTTCCCATTAAAAATGGTGGATCTTTCCATAGTTACGTTCAATTACCAGAGGGTAAGATGGAAATGTTGGAAAGTTGGATCCAAAGATCACCAAAGATCAACTCCATTGGGATCCCCTGCGAGAAAGTCGTGTTCCAACTCCAATCGTTCTGCCATGGTTTCGAGGCCCGTGCGATGCTTGTTACTTGAGCCGAAATATCGATCCTGACTTCAGGATGAAACAGGATCTGGTTGGTGGTATACCTACCCCTCTGAAAAATATGATATAGTCAGATTGGATCATCATCCCAACGAAAATGGGGAAAATAAAATTCATGTTCCAAACCACCAACCAGGGATGAAACTGTATTTGAAAACGAGGTAGCCCGGTAGCCCCAAATGTTTGGCAAATCCATAAAGGTATGAATAAAAAAGTGCGCCGTAGCCTTAATCAGACGACCCAAGAACTTGACCCAAAAGGATGTGTCCAAAAGTGGCTGGATTTGTTCCCCCAACTTGCACGAATGATCAACCGGTGGACAAAGGAAGCCACCAATGCACCAAGATGTTTGGACAAGCGATTCAGCAACCCCCTGGCAAAGATTGGCAAAGTGGCAACAACAATAACAACATGCAACAACTACATTCCCTCATGCCAGTGCCGTGAAAAATGAAGTGCAACCCTCTTCTTTGGCAAACCCTTGTCAAATCGTGTCTTGTTCGACATGCAAGGCAACACTCTTCGAGTGTAGCATCGAGGGCGCTTGACGCGGTGAAACTGCATCGAATTTTTGGCTCATCTGAAACACCGTGGATTTCGAAACGGTGAAACCTAGCCGTACTGAGCCAGGGTAATTTGAACCTGGTTGGCTTGTTTGCTGACGGTGGCCAGAACCGAAACTAACAGCTCCACTTGGGCATAGAGGTCCGAGGTTGGCAGCAAACCTCGATTCTCCTTGGCCTTTGCACGAATCTGATTGATCAGCTCAGGGAAATTTTGTGTGCTATTGGAATCAGAGTTCCTTCGTGCGGCCACATGCGCCAAATTCGACAAACGTCGAGTGGTCGCCTTTGGAGTTTCCGGCTTCATGGTCGTTGGGGTGGTTGAGATTCTGTTGTATTCCTTGGCCAAAATGTCCCTGCGGATAGTGCTGGCGACGGTCATTTCCTGAGTTGCGGAATCTGGTCCAGCCATAGTCCCTGAAAATCGCTTCCCCATATTTCTGGCCATAATTTACCAATGGGTATATAAGTAAGAAATCAGAACGAAATCTCAGTAAATCACTTCTCGTACATCATGTGCATGCCATACCCCTTCACAGATGTTCGAAAAAATTCAACGAAGTCTCGGAGGTGCCAGCAATGAGGAATTTTCGCTTGCAGATGTCATCGAACATCACCAAGGATGAGTTCAGGATTTTACTGAGAAAGCCCTCGATCTCCGTCAACAGGGGACCCAACTCTTCCTGCCCGACCTTCAGATGGATCCGAAAGGTACCATCGATTCCTCCCATATCTGGTGGCTTCAACCCATCCCACAAGTAACGACTATAAATTTACTATAAAAATGGTTGATACTATAAGTTCATCCATTTTTCATCCAATTTGGATAATCTTAGGGTGGAAAATAAAAATGGTTGAAACCACCAACCACTTGTCCTTTTTTGGGTGCCATGGATTCCTCTTCTCGAGTGGACTTCAACATCTTCAACCAAAAATCGGACAGTTAATCTGAAAAAAAAAAACGAAAAACACTTCGAATGGAAAGGTTCAAGCAACCAGGGCAGTGTTGGAGGATACTTCCAGCATCCATTCGAGGGTTCCAAGTTCAATAGCAATGATACGCAGCGATTGCTCCACTGTGCTGAAGAGCATCACGGGAAACCTGCGGTGGATGGACAACCATTATTAGTCTTCTTTACTTTATAGTAGCCCGAGAGAAGGGGAAAAAATGATCGAATAGTAAGTGATCATTACTTCAAAAAATGAAAAATGTATGCTACCAACTTCTATCTAACAAACTACTGTAGGTTTTTTTCGAGGAAAATCAGAGAGGTTCCAAATCATTTCTCAGGAAGCTCGATGCCACGTGGTGCCGGCTCCTTTTTGGCCATGGGTATGAGCGAAGCCACCTCATGAGCCAAGGGTCAGGTACCACTATTTGGAAAGCCTTTCCGTGTTCATCCCTCATAAATATATCCAGATGGTTTAATCAAAAATATCTAATTTTATGTGTTATTTAACCTAGCCATGGAAAATCACAATTAATAATGGGTAAACCATCTATTTCTATGGGCCATCGAAAAACCATGGCTACGTTAGTCATAACCGTCATAACCATGCAGAGGGTATATGAACAAGATCCCAAGGTGGCGCCTCCCAGTTATGTTTGTTGGTTTATAAAGTTTATAACCCCCATAAACTTTAGATAGATCTACCACAAACACTGGGCATGCCTGCCAGGATTCATAGACCCCTGCCATAGGGTCGGTACTGGATCGATAAAGTGGGTTTACCGCATGGTCGATGTGTGTCTAAAAAAATGTGGTGATGATCGGGAAATGATGATAAACCACCGGGCTTTAGAACTTTAGGGTGCTCCCAGAACTAACTAGTAAATACATGGAATTATACCACCCAGAAACCTCTGGTTCAGTGATACATTTATTTTGGGGGACCTTATTAGTGCTGGTGCTTGTCTCATCAAATGGGTGGATTCCCAACTCACCATGGGTACCAGCCGCTCCCACCTGATCCAAATGCATCAGCACCCGCGTCTCCTCATTGGAGGATCCATCGGCGTTGGCCGCAGAAGTGCTGGCGCGCAAGCCCATGACCCGCAACAGCAAGCCCTCAGACTTCTGAAACGCTTTCCTCAACTCAGCTTCACAGATACCTGGGATATAACGGGATGTACCCGGCCTGGTAAACATACAAAAAGCGAACTGGAAAATGGCCATTGATAGTGGATTTTCCTATTAAAATTGGTGATTTTCCATAGGTATGTTAGTTTACCAGAGGGTAACGGGACAAAAAAATCCCGTTAATTGATCTTGTGCAAACTGAGGAAAAACCATGAAAAACCACGACGCCATCGTTTTCAGATCTTAAATTTAAAACAAAAACATGTTAGATATTCCTTTCTCTCTACTACATGTCAAAAGAAGACTTCTCGAAATCGGCAGATCAATTTGGAACCCGATGGGACCTTCCGATCATCTTCCCAAGATCTTATGGCAGTTTTTCTTTCTGGTGAAATTTTCCCAAAAATCAAACATCTGGAGGTATGGGGTATATAAAATTGATTAAAATTGTGGTTATATACCCAATGATGTATATAACCCCATTTTCTGGAGAAGTTTGAGAATCCCATGATTTTCGAATCCCACCTCGGGCACTGGAGTAGAGGAAGAGATCGATGACCAGCATGATGCCACCCCCAAAGACCGCCGACTTCACACTGGCCGCCAGCGAGATCTCAGCTGAGGGCTCGATCTGCGCGTTGTACACACGGAAGACCCCGGTCCACGGAACCAAGCCACCAATGCCAATGGCCAGAACAGGCAACGCCTTGGAAGGGAAGCATGGCTAACACCAAAACAAAAAAAAAACAACGGCCAAAAGGATTCAAAAAGGATACACCATCTAGGAAATGATACATAGCTGTGGAAAAAGGACCATTTATATAATTTATAGATGATTTACTTTTCCATAGCTAGGTTAAATTACCAGATGCAATTTTCCATAGCTACGTTGAATTACCAGTTGCTAATAATGCATTTAAAGCATTGGCAAACCCAATATCACAATGGGTATATAGCATCTAAAGTTGGAGGTTGATTATATGTGTTCATTGGGTTTACCACAAGAATTTGGATATGATTCAGTGGGATCTATTAAATTATATAACAATATATACTGGAATACACTAGGTATAAATAGTCAAAAAAAATCCAATCTAGCTGGTTGAGCCCAAAGATATCATTGGTCCTGGGAAAGATCAGCGTTGTGGAAATATACGTGGTTTTTCGTGGCCTTTCGTGGCGAGATCTTGGATCCCGGGGATCCCTGCAGCCGGAAGGCCGTGGAAGCGTGATCTGGTGAATGCAGGATCTGAAAGATGAGAAAAACACTGTAGCACCAGATGAAGATCGCGAAGAGAGATGCATGAAAGACCGTTTGAACAGCCTCAGACTCTGCAGACTGCGGGCCGTGTGTTCTGTTATTTTCTTGGTTTATGATGATTTATGGCCCCTAAGAAGAAAAAAGGTCAACAAAAATATGGCAAAAGATCTAGACATGTCAAAAATTGCCCCCCAAAAAAACAGTGCCCCCAACTTCGATGTCCCATTCCGCAAGTGAAGCTGGTTTCCGTCAACGAGTTATCCAAGCAACGAGGACCTGTTGGACTGCTTGACCAATCACGGTGCCTATCACTGCACTATTCAAGCGCGTCATGATGAGTCCCAAGGAAAAGCCTGCTTGACCAGTGTTGGCCACGACCACCGAGACCGTCACCACAGCACCAAAGCTGTAGCACACCATGGCTCTCTCCAGCCCCACCCAGCCAAAGAGAAAGCTGAGAACCATGGCCAAAGTGCTTCGAAATACGAAGAGTTTGTGCGATGGATTGCTTCCTGGGCCCGCAACTTGAGATAACTTGGGTCCCTAAGAAAAATATGGCTGCAATCCATGCACCGCCAATCAAACATAGCAATGCGCTTTGAAGATATGTTTATCAAGGTAACATCTAAATGCCCAAAAAAAACCTGGGAATGTTAAAGTTCTCAACTAAGATTGATCCTGGAAAATGGATGAACTATGATGACATCCAACATCTATTTTCCCACCTCAAAATTTAAAAAAAAAAAACGGCGTTCCCGTGGTGAAAATCGCTGAAAAATCGCATCTCCAAGCAGCTGGTTTGTGGAAGCTCAAGCCGCCGGAAGAGTTCCGAGAACCACCTGGCCATGGCTGCCATGGCCCACAGCCCCAGCAGGGGTTCATCACCATGTTCCGTATCAAAATGGCCATGTCTTTTAGGGGGCCTATACCCCATTTTCAGAGACAGGTGGCGAATTTTTCGGGTTTTTTTCCGGGACAACTAGAGCTTGACATCAGATTTTTGGATGGCAGGGCCACTAGAGAGCCATTTCAAGAGCATACATAAAGAAGCCTTGTTGCCTTGTTGCATGTCAAATTCATTTGTTCTTGCCCGTCTAAAACCTCATTCGAACCTCGCAATGATTGCTCCTCAAAATTGGATGGCTGGGTATGTACCAAACAAATGCCAAAATTCTGCGCCGATTCATGCCTCATGTCTGAGGCATAGCAATGAAGGGATAAGGTCCTTGAACATCCATTTTTCATGTGGCAAACCCAGTGCCATTTATGGCGTCCTCTTTATTTTACCATGGGGTGGATGGTTTTTTCACCATCCCCGGTTGGAAGTTTCATGACAGAAATAGCCTTGAAACAGCCACCAGAATGGATGAAACTGAATCATGGGGGATCCGGCCGAATGTCCGACCAAATGTCCAACTGTTTGGGAGTGTCCCATTTCGAAGGCTTCAAGCCATTTACCACCCGTTTTTTCCCCAGTGGCTGGTTACAAACCAGACTCCCAGCGGACCATCTACAGGCAAACCATGTCGCCATCTCATCTATGTGGTATGGTCATCCATCCCACCGTTGGAATCCAAACATCATTGGCCCAACAAAAACGATGAAAATGGGATGGTTGATCATCTTCAAGAAATGAATTCATCATCTCCAAACTGTTCATATCTTTTCATTATGTTTTTTTTAAACCTTCGTAAAGCTTTAGTCGTTCAAGTATTTCCCCAAGACCTTCCCAGGTAATTCCCACCAGATACTTCAGATACTTCGTAAACCTTACCCTCTCGTGGATTTTCCCATGAAAAATGGTGGATCTTTCCATGGTCTTTTGTAAACGTTTACCAGAGGGTACATCAATGTTACATCCATGCAAAGAATGTTAGCATATATGGTAAATTGCTGGGACATATGCCATAGAATGACATTTTCTTCGTAGATTTTAGGATAAGTTTCCATCCCAAAATCTCCAACTCGGACCTGCAAATCTTGCAGAGCCCCGACTCGGCGGGCGGCACCCACTTCTCCAGAACCTTCACTCGCTCAACGGCACCTCCGGCTGCCGTTAGGTTTTTCCCCACTGGGTGAGTTACTATGAATCAATAGTCATGGTTAGTAAAAATAGGAAGAATCGTAACATATTACGAATTGTCAGTAGTAATGATAGTGATAAATTGTTAGTAATAATGATAGTGATCATAGGAATGAGTCAGCAATAATGATAGTAACTGATAGTAATTGTTAGTTTTACTATATATTAGTTGTGTTAGCATTACTGCAATGGTAATTGTTAGAATAATAGTGATTAGTTGTTAGTGATAGTGACAGTAGGAATAATCGTCATAGTCGTCATAATCGTAACAATAACAATTAATTTGAATATATGATTCTTCACTTGTGGCTAAATCACTCACTCACACTTATTTAACCACACTATGGTTATATTGTTTATATAGTTAGGTCACCATTGTGGGAGGATATATTCATAATTCACTATTTATAGGAGGGCATATTGATAGTTCACTATCTATGCTTCTATAGCTGTAATTTCAGAACCAACTAATTACTTGATATGATAAATCTCTATGAAATATAAAATAGGGGATACACAATGACAATGATCAACTGGTTAACCATACCAAAGTCAAGACTTTGCTTTACTAAGAAAGTGTGGATTTAACTAACATTTTTTTAGTATGATGGAGATCGAATTAGATGTAATGGGACAGTGATGGGAATTAAACAGCTGGCTCGGAAATACCCGAACTGCTGAACAAGTTTGTGGGGCGTTTGATATATAAGGGAGAAAGGTTCCCTTAGTGGTGATTACAGTCAGTTGGCATCAATCTCATTTATTCAAGCATCATCCCAGTCTTTCTGGGTGGAAATTGTCATTGATTGATGACAATGAAACTTTGCACCCCAAATGATATATCCCATGGGCCAAACCTCATTTTTTCCATGTAAATGTGAAAAAGGCACCTTCTTTTTTCTGGAATCTTCCCCGTCTTCCCCTTCGATCTTCACTTTGATCTTTAAAAAAAAAACATCGCTCATCATGTTTTGCCATTATTGGGTTACATCCATCGCTCATCATTTTTTGCCATTTTTGTTATATACAACTCCCCCACTTCATCACCATGGTAAGGGGATGAAGCCAGCCAACATGGTGCCTGAGGCTATAGAGATGATGGCCAGGGTGAAGCTCAGAATGGGTCCAGTGAGCGAAAACGCGCCCACCGCCGCGGAGAATTCCTCTTCCAGGTCTTTCATGGCCTGGAAGTGACCCATGGGATCCACTACGCTCAAAATGGTGATTCTATGGGATTTCAATAGGGATTGAGTAGGTAAATCATGGGAATCTGGAAGAATTACCCGGCCTGGTAGACATACAAAAAACTATGGATAAACATCTTTTAATGGATAAATCAACGATTTCGACTGGGCCATTTTCAGTAGCTATGTTACTTTACCAGAGGGTAAGCCTAAACCCTAAACCATCCCCAACTTTGAGGTTTATGACAGTGGGTATATCCCTAGCAATGGGATGTAAAATTGACACCCAACTGGTGTATGCCCAAAGTACGGCCATTTTTATTCAGATTGAGATGTTCCAAAACCATGGGAATCTGGCGTTTTTCCCATTGACTTGAAACCGAATCAATGTGGAAAGTGGCGATCTGGATTCAAAACACCATGGCACTCTGCTGTTCACCTTGAAATGGCTGCGATTTACGGGTTGCCATACCCCCAAAGATGTTTTTGTTCCTACTGAGAATGCGACACATCAATGAAACCCACATTTTTCCGATCTACCCAAAATCGGATCCATCGATGGTTGGAACCATTACATCTCACAACTATCATCCTAGGATACTATAAAAACCCCCATGAAATCCCATGAATATTTGAACTACATAGTATGGGACGGTATCCCATGAATAGTAATGAATCCCATAAATCCCTATGAAATCCCATTTTTATACTATTCTCATCTTCCTTTACTTTTCCTACAAAAATTCGGCCCAGCGACCCTCTGCAAATCCTCCAGCACATCTTCGTCCAAGGAAATCTTCGTCGTTGGCGGAAGGGCCCTGGCAGCGTGAGCACAGACGTCCACCAGCGCCGGTAACTTCTCCTCAATCTTCACCAACTCTTCGTCCGTGAGCCTGGAAATTTTCGGGGGATGAGGGTGGGAAACACCCATTTTTATGGCACGGTTGGGGATGAAAGGTGGAGAAAAATCCATGGGAAAATGCATGGGAAGTGAATGGCACATGCAAAAGATTTTAAGAAAAAAAACGGTGATCTAGGGAACTTCGTTACTTTATTGCAAAAGGTTGAAGGATGAAACTATGCAACTACCCGAAGCTTACCCAGAATTGAAGGGCAACATGTCAAGACATCTTGGCTCAAGCCTGGCCTGTGGAAAAACACGGTTCATCGGTCATCCATCTTTCACTTCGCAACATTTTCCAGGTAGAGCACTGTCCAACTAAAAATGATCGCCGCGAAAAACGCGTGAAATCCTCCTCTCCCTCCTTTCCCCAACACATCCCAAAGCCAAAAACATCCTATAAGTGACTAAATCGAGAAATTCAGCCAGAACAACGATCTCATTCTCATCCTTTATCCCTAAATATCCCTAGATATCCCTAGATTTTAGATTTTTTAACCCAAGCCCCTTAAATTTTCACCATCAAAGCCATTTTTAGAACCGAGCTACGCGGCGCCCAGACGTGAGGCCAACGTCATGTGCTGCAGCAGGGAGCCCAGGAGCTCCACGTACTGCTCGAGCTTCTGGCGCCGCCGCGTGCGGTACGGCAACACGCCCAGGTCCTGGCGCCATGCCATGCGCCATGCGCTGAGAAAGGGGGAACGGCGGCTCGGAGTCGTAGGGTTAATGTTCACCCACTGCATAATATATATGTGTGTGTGTGATATATATATATATATATATTATTTATTTATTTATTTATATATTTAATTATATAATTATTGATCTATTTATTTATTTGTTTATCTATTTATTTATTCATTTATTTATTTATTTATTTACTATTAGTTATTAGTATTATTGTTGTTATATATATAACCCAAGGAATCGGGAACTTACAATCACCAAAAAGGCTTCTTAACCAGAACCCTTAACTGTGATGATCCTCCAAGCAGTGGCAGTTGAAAATGGGGACAACGGAATAAGCCTAGGAATCGGGAGCTTAAATGGTGATAATCAGGACTAATGTTATGGTGACTATAAATATTGATTATCACCTAGGAACTGATATTTATAGTAACCCACATTATTCCTTTAACTGATCATCACCTAGGAATAATGTGGGTTACTATAAATATTATGATGATCAGGACCCGGCTGTTCCAGTATCATGGAGACAGAGTTGGGATTTAGACGTGAAAATTTTGGGTGCTCACATGGATTAGATCAAAAATTTGATCATGGAACTACATGTGATTTTCATGTTCGGAACTTCTTTGTGGACATGATAGGCGGATGAAGAAATTTTGCGGTCACCTGATCTCAAGATTTGCCGGATACCCACTCAAACCCCATCATTTCGTTAAGAAAACATGGTATATGGGTGAAGCACGTGTGTTCATGCTTCAAAATCTATAATTTATTTGGAAAAAATGGAGCACGCATTAATCATTGGTGGCTAAAAAAGTCATATCACCACTTTGATGTTGATCAAATCTCTCATTGTCGCGGCTAACCTCAAAAACCTTCTGTCCTCGCTGGGTATTGCCCAAAGTTTCCATGAAAATTGCCAAGGAATGACAAACCAACTTGCCATGCACCCGTCAGCTCAGTAGCTGCTTAAATCCATTTTTTCTGAACCTTCAATCACGGATGTTGATCGGTTCGACATCGCTCAACCGTTCAAACCATCATCTTCATCAAAATCATGATTTGGTGATATTTCTTGGTGATCTTGGTGATTTTTCTTTGGTGATTTGGTGATTTTTTTTTTGATTGGTTTCTTCATCATGAAAATCATCCTAAAATTCTGGGTGAAACCCTGGGTGTTCGATGGTTTTTGTGGTGAAACCAGCATTTTTGGTGACCCAAAATGGTCTCCTCGAACCAGGCAGCTCCGCAGAGACCGGCCAGGTCTGACAGCCAGAGCTGCGGTGCCTCTAGGGCGGACCTTGGTTGGCTCGAAAGCCTCTGGAAATGTTAGAAAAAAGTACCAAAAACATAGGGATCTAAGGGATTTACCAAGGGATAAAAAAGTGATTCAAGTGAGAATTTCATATGGATTTTTTGTGATTTAAGTGATTTAAAAAATATATATATATATATTTCTGCATCAAACATAGGGATTTCACCACGAAAAATCTGGGAGCATGTTCAAATGGTGGGATTTTACGACCCGATAGGGAAAAAACATTGTTTTTTGGGGGGCATCAAACATGGCGATTCACCGATTAACCATGAAAAACTCTGTGATGAATGGGAATATACATGGACATACCCCCTGGCAATGACTAAGAGTTTGCGGACTGTTTTTTTTTCATGTTCCAATCATCCATAGGAATCTCGAGTCATAGAAAAATGATTTATCACTAGGATCATTTTGGTAAGAAACGTGTCGATCTAACTTGGGGTGTTGCCAAAAACATCAAGTTTGATTTGATCTCAGATTAACACATGATTCTCATGGCTTTCAATCATCAAATTCATGCGGAAAGCCAAGGATTTACCAATCATCGGAAACCATAGCCGTACATGAATTTGAGATCTGGCGAAACAAAAAATGAGCTCATGAGTCTATCAAATTGCAACTTTTGAATGATGTACCCACGCTGAATGGTTAAAACCCAATTTTTGGTAGTTAACCCACTGTTTTAATGGTCTAGTGAAATCCAAGTTCTCGATGTTTGTCCTTAAATACATGGGGGGCAACTGGGGATTTGACCATGCAAAATTGTGAATTCAAGAAAGGAGTCTGATGTTCAATAGATTGATAGGGGGAAATTGTAAGGAAACCGGGATGTTTACACCATCAAATATAGGGCTTTGGGGAAGGGAAAAAAGTTACAGATATATTCGCCAAAAAAGAATCTCCCAAAGTCCCAAAGGTGCCAAAACAATGATGGGAGAAAGAGGAGATGGGGCAATAGGATTCATCAGGAGTCATCAAAGGAGCAAACTTCATGGGCACCTCCAAAATGAAGGGAGCACCAGCGGTACGAAGTCTCTCAAATCCGCTACTTCGGTCTCTCAAATCCGCAGGTGCGCAATGCAGAGAAACTCTCGGTTTGGAACCCCATCTGACTCTATAGTTGTATAATCACCATACACCATACAGGATGGGGCCCCCCAGTGATGCTTGTTGGTTTCTAAACCATTATAACCCCCATTAAATATAGTTATATCTACCATACACCATTGTTAAACCACTTATCATACGACTTTTTGTACCTTAAAAATTCCGAGTTCGGCGCCCGTCCTTCCCAACCCCCCGATGGCTCGATTTTTCGGCATCGGTGAGGAAAAACGTCTTGCAGCAAGTCGTACCAGGAGATACCAGGAGATACCACATTTCGTAAACACAAAACTGCTGCTCAAAAAACTTGCAATGTTAGGAAAATACTCTTCCAAGCCGTCTTCCCATGAGCTCCAAAGCCATATATCTTTTCCAATCATTCCCAGCTTGGAGCACCAACATCAACCCCTTAACCTGTGGTTCATTGGATTGGTGGGAAAATTCACCGGAAACCCCTACATTTGATGGTGAAAACCCATGGCTGCTGGGTTTGATCCTGGTCCGCCGGCGTTGCCAAGGCGCTCCAGTGGCACCCGGATCTCCTGTCGAGGCGCAAACGGCAGACTCTCCAGGATGGCAGCGATGGACTGCGTCAGCTCCCCGCCGAGCTTCGTGGCGTTGCCCAGCGCCGTGTTGGGACAGGGCAGGAACTGACCCACCACCGCCAAGAAACAGCCAATACCTGGGGAACTCAAAAAGGATTCCAGGCAAAAAAGAAAAAACGGATTGGAGAATTGTTTGTGCCCCAAAATTAAAGGACCGGATAACCCCACAAGTCAACTTCTTCCTAAAAAAGAGCTTCAATGGTTTTAGCGGGGACTGGGAAGAAAGGAAAGACAAAGGAGGTGGTGAAAGATCGAGAAGGTAAAACGGTAGGTAGTATGTATGTATGTATGTATGTATGTATGTATGTATGTATGCATGCATGCATGCTTGCATGTATGTATGTATGTACGTACGTATATATGTATGTACAGTACCATAAGTGCCACGCCTGCCACGCAAAACGACGGTAGATGTGAGATTGTGCCACGCCTGCCACGTGAAACGAAGGTGGATGTCAGGTTGTGCCACGCCTGCCACGCAAAGTGGCGCGGTGCCCCAGCGACAAATCCCGGCCCAAGGGCGCCACCCAGTACCATAAGTGGCACGCCTGCCACGCAAAAACGACGGTAGATGTGAGATTGTGCCACGCCTGCCACGTGAAACGAAGGTGGATGTCAGGTTGTGCCACGCCTGCCACGCAAAGTGGCGCGGCGCCCCGGCGCCAAATCCCGGCCCAAGGGCGCCACCCAGTACCATAAGTGGCACGCCTGCCACGCAAAACGACGGTAGATGTGAGATTGTGCCACGCCTGCCACGTGAAACGAAGGTGGATGTCAGGTTGTGCCACGCCTGCCACGCAAAGTGGCGCGGCGCCCCCGCGCCAAATCCCGGCCCAAGGGCGCCACCCAGTACCATAAGTGCCACGCCTGCCACGCAAAACGACGGTAGATGCGAGATTGTGCCACACCTGCCACGTGAAACGAAGGTGGATGTCAGGTTGTGCCACGCCTGCCACGCAAAGTGGCGCGGCGCCCCGGCGCCAAATCCCGGCCCAGGGGTGCCACCCAGTACCACAAGTGCCACGCCTGCCACGCAAAACGACGGTAGATGCGAGATTGTGCCACGCCTGCCACGTGAAACGAAGGTGGATGTGAGGTTGTGCCACGCCTGCCATCCAAAGTGCGGCGCGGCGCCCCGGCGCCAAATCCCGGCCCAAGGGCGCCACCCAGTACCATAAGTGCCATGCCTGCCACGCAAAACGACGGTAGATGTGAGATTGTGCAACGCCTGCCACGTGAAACGAAGGTGGATGTCAGGTTGTGCCACGCCTGCCACGCAAAGTGGCGCGGCGCCCCGGCGCCAAATCCCGGCCCAAGGGCGCCACCCAGTACCATAAGTGCCACGCCTGACACGCAAAACGACGGTAGATGTGAGATTGTGCCACGCCTGCCACGTGAAACGAAGGTGGATGTGAGGTTGTGCCACGCCTGCCACCCAAAGTGGCGCGGCGCCCCGGCGCCAAATCCCGGCCCAAGGGCGCCACCCAGTACCATAAGTGCCACGCCTGCCACGTGAAACGAAGGTGGATGTCAGGTTGTGCCATGCCTGCCACGTGAAACGAAGGTGGATGTCAGGTTGTCCCACGCCTGCCACGCAAAGTGGCGCGGCGCCCCGGCGCCAAATCCCGGCCCAAGGGCGCCACCCAGTACCATCAGTGGCTCGCCTGCCACGCAAAACGACGGTAGATGTGAGTTTGTGCCACGCCTGCCACGTGAAACGAAGGTGGATGTCAGGTTGTGCCACGCCTGCCACGCAAAGTGGCGCGGCGCCCCGGCGCCAAATCCCGGCCCAAGGGCGCCACCCAGTACCATGAGTGCCACGCCTGCCACGCAAAACGACGGTAGATGCGAGTTTTGTGCCACGCCTGCCACGTAAAACAAAGGTGGATGTCACCAAGTGCCACGCCTGCCACGGATGACACCAAGTGTGTTTTTGTGTGTGTGTTGTGTGTGTGTGTGGTGTGTGGTGTGTGGTGTGTGGTGTGTGGTGTGTGGTGTGTGGTGTGTGTGTGTGTGTGTGTGTGGTGTGTGTTGTGTGTGTGTGTGTGTGTGTGTTGTGTGTTGTGTGTTGTGTGTTGTGTGTTGTGTGTGTGATTGTGTGTGTGTGTGTTGTGTGTGTGTGTGTGTGTGTGTGTGTGTGTGTGTGTGTGTGTGTGTGTGTGTTGTGTGTGTGTGTGTGTGTGTGTTGTGTGTGTTGTGTGTTGTTGTGTGTGTGTGTGTGTGTGTGTGTGTGTGTGTGTGTGTGTGTGTGTGTGTGTGTGTGTGTGTGTGTGTGGTGTGTGTTGTGTGTGTGTTGTGTGTGTTGTGTGTGTGTGTTGTGTGTGTGTGTGGTTGTGTGTTGTGTGTGTGTGGTGTGTGTGTTGTGTGTGTGTGTGTGTGTTGTGTGTTTGGTGTGTGTGGTGTGTGTGTGTGTTGTGTGTGTTGTGTTGTTGTGTGTTGTGTTGTGTGTGTTGTTGTGTTGTGTTGTGTGTGTTGTGTGTGTTGTTGTTGTTGTGTGTTGTTGTTGTTGTGTGTTGTTGTGTGTTGTTGTGTGTTGTTGTGTGTTGTTGTGTGTGTGTTGTGTGTTGTTGTGTGTTGTGTGTTGTTGTGTGTTGTGTGTTGTGTGTGTTGTGTGTTGTTGTTGTTGTTGTTGTTGTTGTTGTGTGTTGTTGTTGTGTGTGTGTGTGTGAATGTCACCAAGTGTCTTTTGCGCGTGTGTGTGTGTGTTGTTGTGTTGTTGTGTTGTTGTGTTGTTGTGTGTGTGTTGTTGTGTGTTGTGTCTGTTGGTGTGTGTGTGTGTGTGTGTGTGCGTGTTGTGTGTGTGTTGTTGTGTGTTGTGTCTGTTGGTGTGTGTGTGTGTGCGTGTGTGTTGTGTGTGTGTGTGTTGTGGTGACAAAGTGTATGTTGATAAAGCGTGTGTGGACAAAGTGTTTGTGGACAAAGTGTTTGTGGACAAAGTGTTTGTGGACAAAGTGTGTGGTGACAAAGTGTGTGTGGACAAAGAGTGTATGTTGATAAAGCGTGTGTGGACAAAGTGTGTGGTGACAAAGTGTGTGTGGACAAAGTGTTTTGGACAAAGTGTTTGTTGATAAAGTGTGTGTGGACAAAGTGTGGAGGAGGGCGGAGGAGGAGAAGGCGGAGGAGGAGCCCGGGATACAGAATCAAAAACAAGAACCCCACACAAAGATGTGGGGAAAAAATAAAGATAGAAAAGTGAAATAAGAGCGATGAAGGACTTTTCCATCCTTTTGGGAGGTTCAACTGGAAATCAACTCGGCATCATGCTATGTTCTCCATTCACGGCTCAGGAGAATCGCGCAAGAAATCCCAAGTGTTTCATGGCCAAAGCATGTTTAAAAAAATGAATGTAAAATCGTTTCATGATGAACTCCCCAGTTCTTGATGATTCTTTGTCAATTAAATAACTTAAATGTATAATGTAAATCACCGAAGAAAATCTTTGGTGAACTCCGAAGCTGGTCACAGGTCATAATGGACTGGGTCCATGGGTCAGAGGGATTTTCCATGTAGGCATCGGAGCTGGGATTCACGAAGAGCATCAGCCAAAAGGTCAGATAGGTCAAGGCATAAATGCGAGTGGAAGCACCGAAGCCAACCTTAGAAATCACGAGGGGCCAGCGGGCCAGCCTTAAATTTCACGAGGTTTCATGGATGTTCAGGAATTGTTTATGGTATATATATATCTCTATATATATATATATACATATACGTATACATACATATGTATAATATATATATATATACTTAATGGGTTGTGGTTTCATATCCGGATGACCCCCCATCACTTTCGGGTCCTGAGATTAAGGGTCCCATCATTGGGCTCGATGCTTTGGTTCTCCAGAGAAAGCGGAGACCAGCTGCGTTAAAAACCCCAAGATTTGAGGTTCCCGTGAGAATTCCGAGGATGTTTTAGTCATTGGGGCCAAGGAGGATGTGAACACGTCTCGAAATCTTGTAGAAGACAATTGGGTTAGCAAATTGCTTTTAAGCCTTTAGACTTTAGAACAAAGATCAATGAAACCATCAACCAGCAACCCCAAGGAAGACCGCAGTGAAGAGAGCTAGGTCAAGCAAGACAATGGCAGAACGGATCCCACCATCTGTCATGGAAGACCAGTGCACGTTCATGAAGCATTGCTGTAGGAATTCCTGGGTGGAGTTCGTGGTGATAAACCGAGCGCCATTGCCCAAGTTGCACAGAGGAAGCCACTCGGATCGGTAGATCGGATCCGCGACGTTGGGATCAACGAACTCCTCCCTGGTGGCATAGGCACCCCCCTGCATCCAGGTTCCGAAGGCCCGGTTCAGCAGCAGCATGTTGCCGAGGGCCAACAGTGTTCCAATGACACCCTCAAGGGCATAGCGAATTCCCATGCCCACGTTGGGAGAGAGCAAGAAGCAAAAGTTGGACATGGCCATACCATAACTGGCCATATATTTGCTACTTCGCTCCCCCAGGCTGTTGAAATACTCGGCCACTGGCCACACAATCACTGGCCCTGATAAGATAACCATCCACATGGCCAATCGTCCAGACAAGAACAAGTTGTTGAAGAACCTGCGCCGTGAACGAAAGGCGGTTTTCTTGAACTTGGAGTGTGTCTCCAGCAGCTCCAAAATCCTCACTACGGACTTTTCCCAACCACTATCTGTGAAGCTGTTGCGAACAGGTGATGACTTGGAGCCTGTCTTGGAGCCGAGGATCTCATCAAGGTCCAAGTTCTCCGTGTCCACAGACTCCATAATTTGGACATGCGGCCTGGCAGGAGCGTCCGCAAAGTCTGTCTCAACAACACCTGGCACCTGTGGCACGTCTTGCACTTGTGGCGCTTCTTGCAGTTGTTGCACGTGGTGCACATGATGCACATGAGGCACTTGTTGCACTTGTTGCACTTGTTGCACTTGTTGCACTTGTTGCACTTGTGGCTGCACTGGCATGTTGACCCCGTTGGCCCTGTTGGCCCCGTTGCCCCCATTGCCCCCATTCGCTGGCCTCATGGCTACCATGTTAAGCTCAGGATGCTCAGGGCTGTCCATCTCCTTTGAACGAACTCCCCTGGCGGCACCAACTTCCCCTTGGGGCTCTTGCAGCCCTTGCGCTGCCTGTCGCAGCCCATCTGGTGCCATCCCATGCTCTCTGCCATGCTCGTGGTGATCTGGGAAGGTTGCGAACTCTCCTGACTCTGGGCCGCTCCCCAAGGTCTCGAAGGTTTCCCAAGTCTCCTTAGTTTCTCTCTCCCTGTCCTCCCTGGTCTGACTGGTCTCCCTTGTCTCTCTCGGCAAGCTCATGCGATAGTCCGAATCCAGGCCACTTCTTCCGTGGGACCCCGCCTCATGTCTCCGCCGTGGCTTCTCTCGGAAGGGCCGGCGGCTGCGGCTGCCCTCCTCTCCACTGCTGTGGTGCGGAGTGGACCAATTTGCCTTGGTTGAGCGTTTGCTGCCTCCCGTAGGGTCCTGCAAAAGGTAAATTGGTAAATGCCTCCAACATCACCCTTTTTTCATCACTACCTTTTGCCTGCCATTGCCACGCTTCAACCACCAAAAAAATGATCTGAACTGTCCACCCCATGGCCCCCAAAAAAAACGACCATATCTAGAGGACCCCCCGTTCATTCCCATCCTCAGTGACAGACTTCAGCACCACACTCTTTCCGGCCACAACTGAAGAGACATCGCCATTGGCCTTTTTCACCCGCAAAATCGTTCCCTGAAGTTTGTACTCCACCTTCTCCCCTGTGTCCACCATGGCGCTGCGAGTCGCTTGAGCCAACTTAGTTTCAACTTGGATGCAAGGGAGACATTCGGAAGTGGAAACTGGTTTGTGCGGCCCAAGTGGCACAAGGAGCAGAATCAAATGATATCACATGATTCAACTGCAAAATCTGGTGAGAATGAGGTTTATTTCACCATCTTCCAGTTGGCAGTTCCATTGGGCATTGACCTTTTTTTGTTCCGGGCGGTTTTTCGATTGGCGAGTTCACCAGTGCCGAAGTAGCAGTTTTCCCGGGTTCAATCCATGCTGCGAATTAAGTGCCTTCACTTGCTCCTTTCCGGCGCCTCGGGACGAGGCCGCAGTTCAACAACAGCTGGAATTGGCTGGGACCCTATCACAGATGGACTCCATCCATCGAAAATGAGATGAAAATGATGATCAGGATGGAAAATCCAAAAATCAATCTGTGAACTTCATAACTATTATAACTTCACCTTTACCAAGAAATCTGCACCACGTCACACCTGCCACCCCCACCGTTCAGAGCTTGACCCTGAGTGCTAGGCTGGCGAGCAGTGTCCAGTTGTGCTAGGAGAGTGGTCAAGTCGCCTGGTGTAGGCTGATCGCATCCGGCACCAAACACACGTTATCAGCAACCAAATAGCATCACTAACATTGCTATCAGCTTGGGATGGCCTCAGTTTTCCTAGCTCCAACCGATGATTTTTTTACTGGCCAGAAAATACCATCTGGTTATGACTAACATAGCCGTGGAAAATCCCAACCATAAATGGAGCTTTAGTTCGCTGGGAAAATCATCAATTTCGATTAGGGCCATGGCGCCACCATGGCTATGTTAGTCATAACCAGAGGGTAGATCAATAGATCACCATAGATCACCAACTGCTCCCGGCCAATAGGATCCACCACTGGTCTGCAACGTTTGCAGGCGCTGATGGCAGTCTGATGCTCCAGGTCCGCCGCATGCATCACATAGGCCACCCCTAGGGGGATACGGAAAGTGGGCACCATGGCTACACGAAAAGATGGACCACATGACTTTTCATATGGTCTACCCTCTGGTAAACGTTTACATAACTATGGAAAATCCCCAATTTTCGATAGGTAAATCATAAATCCACTATTTCGACTGGGCCATTTTCAATAGCAAACTGTTAGTCATTACCAGAGAGTATTTGTTTTCAAAAAAAGGGAACTGCCGCAGGATGAGCAAAACCTTCCAATCCGTGCTTACCAGCGGCACCAGGCCGTTACTCTGACTGGACCAGCTGAACGAGCTGGACGAGCTGGTTGGCTGGGCTGAGCTTCCTACCAGTTGTGCCTTGCCGTTTCGACTCATGGGAAGTGAATTAAGGAGCGGGTTAGCGGGTTGTCTTTCCGCAGTCTGCATGTCTATGTCAAAGAATGGTTGATGTCAACAATCATCTGAATCAGGAGTCTACAGCTGATCTAGGAATCTAGAATTCACTGACTTCACTGCCCATGCCGACCCGCGTGCCTATGGTTGCAACATTGCGAAAGGAATGTAACTCTCCCATATCATTCTCATTCATTCTCCACATCCATATCTATACCTATATCTATATCTATATCTATATCTATATTATCTATATATTATACCTCTATATTATTATCTATTATGTATATATAATCTATTAATATATGTTATCTATATCATCTGTATATTATCTATGTACTATTTATATAATATCTATATATTATCGATATATTATCTATTAATATATCTATATATTATCTATATTTTAACATATATTATCTATACATTATCTATATATTATCTATATATTATCTATATATTATCTACAGTATATATTATCTATATATTATCTACATATTATCTATATATTATCTAAATATTATCTATATATTATCTATATATTATCTTTATTATATATATAAATATATATTATCATTCATATGTCGATATCTTTCCATCTCTCCATCTAACCACCTGCTCGATGGGCTCCAGCAAGACAATGGATTAATACCGATTGTCCTGCCGCGGTATTTTCCCCATCAAAAAGAGATAGATTTCGCCCTGTTCCGAGCAATTTTGGCACTGGATTACTGATAGCTTCAGGTTGATACTGTTTTGAATGGGAAAATCATGTAGAAATATCAAAAACACCTAGAAATAAATGACAAACTCCACTCGGAACATTACATGTCTTCCAAACCCTGCTTTTTGAAGTTCCACGTTTGTTTTTCGGGTGTACATGGATATGAATCGCGGATTATCCAACAGCTACGGATTGTCGACCAAAAGGGTGTGAAAACACGGCCCTTCAGAATGGGATACCGTGTTTTGAACCCACGGCTGGTGGCCCCAGGTCAATTGATCAGCCTAAAAAAGGGCGGAATTGGTCGATTTGAAAGCGGGGAACTAGTCAAACTGGGGTGTAATGTCGTTTAATCCGTTACCAAACTTAACAAAACCGTCTGTCCAGAGTTGACGGCTTCGTCAATCCATTGGAAGACCGGGTGAAAGAACTCGAAGACACCTTGGCGCGCCATCTTTTTTTTGGTCCAAAAATTCCATGATACCCTCTGGCAATTTCACATTGCTATATAAAATCACAACTCTTAGTAGGCAGTTTATTCTATAAACAGGCAATTGTCCATAGCAAATGAGCAAAGGCTATTCGCTCTTTCGAATTCCCATCTTACAAGTCCGCATGTGTTTTGTGCCAAAAGAACTAAGTTATCACCGCAGAAAATCAGGGTGACACCCCGATTGGTGCGCAAATCCAAGACGGAGAAGAACTTGTAGATGTCCTCAGCAGTTGCAGGGATCATGGCGGTGCCATTTTTATTTTTTTCTGCATGGCAAATAGACAAAAGTGAACATCACTGAACCTTTGTCCACTAAGCCCAAAACAGGGATCATGATCATCCAAAAAAAAATGGTATTTCAGTTCATAAGTTCTAAAGAAGAAAGAAAAAGCATTGTGAAGCATCAAGCCAGGTGTTTCACTAAGCCATGCTTCGAAACGGTAGTATGCCACTTTCCCATCGCCCTCAAAGGCGTTCGGAAGGTCCGAAGTGCAATTCACCTCGGAGTCTCGGAGTCACCGAGTGATACTTCAGCACTTTTTTGCACTACGCGTATCAATATCGTATCCATATATCTATATTTAAATCTATTTATTTATCTATTTATTGATGTACCTATTTATCTATTTATCTATCTAATTATTGATCTATATATTTATGTATTTATCTATCTAGTTACATATATAAATATGTCTATGTATATGTATATATATATATATTTATTTATTTATTTATCTTTCTATCTATTTTTTTATTTGCATATCTACTTTTCTGTCTATTTATCTATCTATTTATTTATGTGTGTGTGTATGTATTTATACATTTAGTATAGCAAAAATATTCCTACTATGATTGTTTTATTCATTGTCCATATAAGTATACATACGTATATAAATATATATATAAATTACTTGTCGAAGGAAGTTTAGAAGTCAAACTTCCGACAATATGCAGGGATGGAGAAGCAGAGGTGGAAGTAGTCAGAGAAGACAAGAGAAGAGAAGAGAAGAGAAGAGAAGAGAAGGGAAGGGAAGGGAAGAGGAAGAGAAGAGAA